TCGGGGTATGACTGGAATATTTATTTTTAATGCTTTCCTGTTATTTCGGAGTTTAACTTTATAATATATATTACTTTTTAAGTAATGGTTTCACAGATCTTTAATTTTTAAACACTTTTATTTAAAAGTTCTGTAGATTTCGCCAAACATACGATCAAAATATGACTTAGTTTCTTAGCAACCCAAACAAATGACCTAGGTCCTAGCTTTTACACAGTTTATACAACTGACACCCCAACCCATTCCAACACTGTCATCACCACCTATACCGATGACACGTGTATCCTATCAGTTAATAAACGATCCATCTATTGCATCCTAAACTCTTCAATCACACATCTCAATTCTTAAAAAATTTTGTCAAATCTGGAGGATCAAAATAAATTCCAATAAATCCCTTAGGATAAATCCCCAAATTGCCTTTACTCTTCGTCGTAAACCTATCCTTCAACAATAGCCCACTTATTCCTGTTGAACAAATCCGTTACCTAGGACTACACTTGGACAAACGTCTAACTTGGAATCCACATACCAGACCGAAACGACAAGAAACCGCTCGACGTTTCCGGCTACTTCAACACTTAATAGACAAACGCTATAAGCTTCCAATTAATTACAAAAGACTCATGTACATGACTATAATAAGGCATATTTGGACTTACGGAGTTGAGCTTTGGGGCTCTACTAAACCATCAAATCCAATCCCTACAATCCAAATTCCTTCGTAAAATCCTCAATGTTCCCTACTTTCTCACAAATAAAATCATCGATAACGACCTTAATGTACCCTATGTTTCCGATTTAGCTCAATCCAGATACCTATCCTTCCATGATAAACTCCTGATCCATCCGAACCCTCTTGTTTCCAACTTTGCTTCCTCTTCTATTCCAGATAACCCTCCGAGGCGTCTGAAAAGAAGATGGCCTCGGGACCTTCTAATATGGAAATATAATTGGAGTGCTACAAATGGGTAGTTTCTCTTCATGTTGTACATCTCATATTACTTGTTGTATTTATTATTTAAGACAGTTGTAAATTTCAATAATATTTTTTTTTAATTCATTTAAGTTAAATTATAATTATAATTCAAGCCCAATTATTATTTGTATCTTATTTAACCTAACTTTGTTTTAAGAACTCAAATAAAAGATAAACTTTTATCACAAACCTAGAACTTAGAAATTTATAATGAACAGGATGTTAGAAACTGAAAAAACATTGAAATAAGTTTTTTATTTATTTTTTATATGGATCGTAAAAAATAAATTCGCCTCATTCCCTACTTACTAAGGGGAGAAGTCTAGGTGATTTTTTTTTTAAGGGGGCTAAAAAATAAATTCCATCCAGGCCCTAAATAGTTTAATTATTTATAATATTATTATAAAATTATTGTACGCCACTTCAACCGATTAATTCCCAACTCTGCTCAAGTACATCACTGCTTGTCACGGGCGGATTTACGGGAGGGGGCCTTTGGGGCAGAAGCCCCCCCCCCCTCCCCAAATGGTAAAATATAACCATGTTTTGTGGAAAAAAATATTTAAAAATTATCTCTTGAAGTATTATTATTCGTGTAATTACATTTAAAAGTACTTTAGGAATCACGTAAACACCATTTCATATAGGTAGTTAGTTTCTTTCTTTTTTTTGAAAGTAATTATCGTTATTTTTATGGAAAAAAAACTTTCGGGCTGAAGCCCCTTCTTCCTCCCCCAAAAAAATTAAATTCTGGATCCGATATGCTGCATGTGTAATGGTGTTGGTTTGGTTGTATAAGTTTGTCGCTGCAGCTTATTAACTCTTAAACCTCTTAATAGAATTAAAGAGTTAAAATTAGAATGTGAAGAATGGAAAACTGCATATTTAAAATGATAGGGATTTAATAACAAACTATAAATTGCTCAAAAACAAAATAGTGTAATTGATTTAAAAATATAATTTAATTTCCTCAGTTAAGGGTTAATGAAACAATTAAATCACTTTTCAACTTTTTATAAATAAAATTACGACACAAAAAGCAGAAAAATATGACAGAGCTCTGCTTTCCACTTTTTTTTCTTTAATCATATTGAGTTAAATTTACTAAAATAATATTTTTAGGCTCAATGAAATTCAATTTCCTAAAAAAAAATAATTTTATTTTATAACCATCATTTCACATATATGAATATGTTTTTAAAAAATTAAACGTAAATTAATTATCTGAAAGTATTAATTATAAGATTAATATATTTTTATTTTTTTTTACATTTTAGCATATTCTCGTCATTTCATTTTCCATAATTCAGTGAAATGAACTCGAAATAAGCCCTGAAATAAATTTTTTTCAAAAATGAAATGTATGGTATTTTGTGGGAAAATAAATAAATAAATATTAATAAATGTTTTGAGCTCTTCAATCACCTGGGTCATTTTCGCTCTATATTACAAACTACTACATACATACCAAACTACAGCTAACAAATATAATTTAAAGATAAGAATAGTTACTGATGAATATGATAGTACAATTGAATTAAAGTCATAAAAATTGAAAGTTCAAGATTAAAAGGAGACAAGTTAACAAAGATAATTAAAGTAAAGGTTAATGATTTTAAGAAAAAAAGCTTAAAATACGTTTTTAAAAAATAAATACTAATATTAATAGAAGCGAAGTTAATAAGAGTATTTAAGTACAGTTTAAATACTAAAAAGTACAAGAAGAAAAGTTGACAAAAAACAGTATTATTAAATATTAATGATTATAAAAAGAGAAGTTAACAGTTAACACAGACATTTAAATAACAGGTTAATGATGGGAAAATAATTAATGATGGAGGAAAATGTTGCACGAATCCATATCTATGAGGTGTTATCTATGTATTTTTTTTTCTGCTTGCATTACAGATCTTGTATATCGTTTGCCTTCTTAACAAAACTGCTATATCTCCATCTGCCTTGGGCTATTTCTTTTCAATTATCTGCACATAGCTCTAATGTTTCTTTGCTGATTCTATCTATCCATCTAATGCTTTCTGGCCTTCCATGTGGTCTATTGAAGCATTCATTGTTACGTAGAAACTTCCAGATGGATTGCTAAGAGCTACAAGCCCCACCCATCTTAACCTCCATGCCTTCATATCATGGTATATTGATTTACCAGTTTCTGTAAGCAGTTCATTATTGGTCTTTCTTTTCCATGTGTTAGTGATTTGATCACAGATCGCTCCGGTTATCGTGCATAGGATTTTTCTGTTTAATCTTTTAATACTTTTCTCTAGAGTGCTATAAATGCCCGGTGGGACTTTTAAAGCCGTATAATTCTCCTAGCCCAGAAAAACCTGGTACACTGTTCAACGCATTTAAAATATATATATATATATATATATATATATATATATATATATATATATATATATATATATATATATATATATATATATTGTCAACTTAATTATTGAAAAATATTATAATCTGTCTGAATTAAGGACATTTATAATAGTGTCCATAGAGCACACTCACACTTTATGTACAATACAGAAAAATAATAATACTAAAAGTAAATGTGAATAAACTTAATAAATCATGACAACAACTTAAATACTAGTATACTTTTAAACAAAATTCATTAAACCAGGAGAACTCCGAGCCAAGCAGCCTTCTCCCCCCCCCCTCGAGGAAGGAAGGCAGGACTCCAAGAGATCCCAGTGCCTCACACTCAGCCGCATTACTGGTATTAAGTAAGCACCAGTGGAGGGTGAGTAGAGGCACTATAACCACAGGCGTTCATGGCTTGAGTGGAGAATCTGGCGATTGCCAGAACTCCGATAAATGCATATTTACAGATCTCTGGGCCTCTACCGCTTCAACCTTCAAGGAGGATTGTATGGATGAGTGGAGCTAGATAAGGATCGTGTTAGGGGATTTGGACGATATGTAAAGTTCTGATGAAATTTGGAGAATAAGGTCATGGTGTAGTGTTTTGTTAGTTGCATAGAATAGAGCATCAACTATTGTTCGAAGGGCTTTGTATTAAAAAGATTGGATGAGTTTGATGTTATAAAATTTTGCTATCCCCTATAAAAAAATATTATAAATTAAATCACAGAACAGCTGATCAGCAACATAAGAGCATTGTGATGGCGTTAATCTCTGCTGTGTAGACACTACAAAGATGATGTATTTTACATTTGTAGGTAGCATCAATGCTGATGCAGTAGACGTATCTGATTTAGATCCGTTGGGGAATATTAGGTGTTCAGGTAAGGTGACGATTATTTTATGAAATTGTTCTTTATATTCTGCTGAGATTTTACTATCTTTGTTGAATATGGCAAGTGGAAGATTTAATTTTGGTGATATGTAAGTTTCTGCTACTATTTGAGATGCATAAATTTTTATTCTGAAATTAATCCCGTCCCACTAGATCTCGTACTTCTGACCTCTATCCTCCTCCTCACCGAACTGCTGCGTTTGACGAATCCTTTGCAATTCAAACTGCCTCCCTCTGGAATTCCATCCCTGCTGATATTCGACACGCACAATCAGTTTCCTCTTTCAAACCTTTCCTCTTTAAACACCTACTCCTTTCTCAACCCGACTGATTACGAAATATACCTAAGAGAACTATCTAAGTATCCCCAGAGACTACTTCAATTCATTTAGGTTATTTTAGTTTCATATGTCTGTCATATATATGTACAATTTTCTTGTTAATTAACTCTATAATTTAATTACACAATAAGTACACAAATATGCAATCTGTACTTATAATTTGTTCTGAAGGGACAGCAGTCCCAGAATAATAAAATATATTTTCATTTCATTTTATTTCTATTGATAATCAATTAAGAGTAATAATTTATTACATGATAAGAAAGTTTTGAATAGCGATGCAAAGGTGGTATATATTGTCCTGAAGGAATTTGAGAAAGAGTGGGTAAAGTTTCGGTAACTTATCATTTACAGCTAATGATACTGTCCAAGTACAATGTACTCAGGCTATAACTTCTGATTTCAGATACATTACTGAAATGGACTTCGTGGACCCCAGCAAGGTATCCATATTGGCTTATGGTTATGGAGGATATTTGGCTCCCAAATTGCTGTCAGAGAAACCTAAGATGTTCAAGTCCATCGCCATTTTATCGGGCATATTCAGTTGGCCTAATTATAGTGAGTACTTAACAGAAATTGTACTAATATCTACTATTTCACATTGAATTTTATTGATTAATAATATTAGAATTAATTATTACTTTATTAAAGTAAATATTATTACAGAGGAAGGAGATGGTCCGGCGTGGTGGTCGTAAAGAGACTAAAATGGTGGAAAAACTATTTAAAGCCAACGTTTCGACCCGACTTTGCAGGTCTTCTTCAGGGCTAGAAAGTACAAGATACAAAAGGATATAGAAAATTGTGTAAGTCGCATAATATTTATATAAAAGTTATAAACACGGTGAATAAACTTATTGAAATTACAAACAGCAAGTACATTGAAATATTAAGAACAAAAAACTATATAAACAGAATAAACTAAGTAATAAGATCTTAAACTGAAGTAAATAAATGGTAACTGTTGTAGATTATTGTAGATAGGGGATAATTAAATCTAATAAGCAGGATGGATAATGTATGCAATTATGAATATACTCCTACATTTAATTTAGTTTAGGATCTTGTTACTTAGTTTACTCTGTGTATATAGTTTATTGTTCTTAGTATTTCAATGTACTTTCTGATTATGATTTCCATAAGTTTATTCACTTTGTTTATACCTTTTATCTAAATATTATGTAACTTCCACAATTTTCTATATCCTTTTGTATCTTTTCCGTTTTAGCCCTGAAGAAGACCTGCAAAGTCGGGTCGAAACGTTGGCTTTAAATAACATAGTTATTCCTCTATTTTACTCTCATTATGACCGCCACCCCGGACCACCTTTTTCCTTTAAAATATACAACGGGCAACCATTAAGTTTTCAATAAATATTATTACAATTAATTAATACACAATAATTATATTTATAAAAATATCATATGTCGTTTTCATATCTTAATTAAGAAATATCGATTCTTAATGAGAAATTTATTTTAAGGCTGATTTTATTATTTTTTTTGGGGGGAGGAGGATGATATTTATAAAATTACATTAAATTTTAATTTCTCAATAGTTAAACATTTATGTCATATTGGGTTTATGCAAGAAGAAAATTTGAATAAGTAAATAACAGGGCAATGTAACAAAAAAAAATTACTTGTTATACTGTATTTCAATCTTAATTAAAAGCTATTCTTTTCATAATTGTGATGTTTTTTTTCATTCACTAATCCATCATGAGCGTACGTTACCAAGGAAGATGCATTTATTTGAACTATATTAATTCATTCAACACTTTTATTGATCTTTTATCTAGGATTTTTGAGTAAGAATAGTCAAGTTTTCCAGTTTAGAAAAAACACATTTCGGCAGAAATTTGGACTCCAATAGGTCAAATTTTAAGGTCCCTTTCAACGGAAAAGCAAACAAAGCACATTTCTTAAAATTTATATTAAACACAGCAATAGCGGATCCAGGATATAATTTTAGGGGGCTTGAGCCCGAAAGTATTTCTTTTTTTTTTTAAATAAAACGATAGTTACTTTGAAAGAAAAAGAAAGAAACTAACTACCTATCTGAAATAGTATTTAAATGGTTCTTTAAGTCCTATTAAATGTGACTATATGAACAATAATATTTTTAGATATAATTTCTTAATATTTTTTTGAAATGGCTATATTTTACCATTTGGGAGGAGAGGAGGATTCAGCCCTAAAGCCGCTCTCTCCCTAAAAATCCTCTTGTGAAACCCTGCAAAGTTATAAGCCATAGTGAAAATGTACGCAGTCGTGTGTGGCCTGCTGAGATTTTTTCTAAAATAACATAATCATGGCATGATTAGCAGAAATGTATACTGTAAGACGATCGAGGAAGGTGCGTTTTCAAAATTAACGCAAAAAACAAATGCCAGTTAAGTCTATTTAATGGTATATAAAACGCTGATAAATTCGTTTAAACTTATTGAAAACACTTAAAAATAGAATTAATTTAAATTTTTAATATTTTGCTAAATAGTGAACTGACTTCCAATTCAAGTTATATTTAAAAATGACGGACTAATTGTTGTCAAACGATTGTGTTTCAATTAACCGACCCGTAAACGGCTGAGAATTATAAAATATTCAACATGGCAGATTGAGTTTGCATCAATCGCTTATCCAGGAATGTACGTTTCCAAAAAATATCGTAAAAAAACAATTTTATGTTGAATACACCATTTTTCTAAACTAGGGTATTCCTACTAGCGTTCTAACAGGGATAATATTGCCGAAAATGAATATCCTGTCCGTTCTCGAGTTAAGATTAGTAGAAAACCGATTTATTTGTAAACGTACATATATAATATAATTATTGGGAGCAGAGCAGCGAGTTCGTTTCGAGTCCTGTTGTTTTAATTATTTATTCTATTTTTTTACATCGACTTAGGACCTGGAATCGGTTGACCCTCCCGGAGCTCACCCATCCTCTATAAAGTGATTAAATCTGGAGCTTTAGCGTGATTACTGTCCAATCACATCCCTGCACAACCGATGGCCTTGAAATTGCACTTCCTTACAAAGCACTGAACCCTAGGCCTACCATGGGTTGTATATACTGGTACAGGTAGTATATATATACCAGTAGTACGGTCTCGATGATCCGAACCTGTAGTACTCCGAAACCCCGGTAATCCGAACAAGAAAGAGAAAAAAAACGGAAAACATTAAAACCAGGCGGCTCTCCAGAAGTTGAGGAATCTCTTTAGATGTGTTTTTTGCAGCAGATATCACGGGAGTGTGTCCAATTCGCGGCAATATTTAGCATTTCCAAGTCAATTTCAACTATTTCCAAATCAAATTCAACCTTTTAAAATTCAATTTAAACCTTTTCCATTTCAAATTCAACCTCTTCCAGGTCAAATTCAACCTTTTCCATTTGAAATTTAACTTTCGAATTTTTGTCAATTTTCGATTTTTTCGAAATAAAGGCTACTTACTACAATATTGAAGGCATAGCTTTTCAAAAATACAAAAAAAAATTATGATATCGTGATTGCATATCCATTTATTTTAACTTTTTAGATTTTTTCAGTATAATATTTCCATGTCATACTCAATTTTTTCCAAGTAAAATTCAACCTTTTACAAGTCAAATTCAACCTTTTTTTTCCAAATCAAATTAAACTTTTTCCAAGTAAATTCAACCATTTCCATTTCGAATTAAACCTTTTCCAATTCAAATTCAACCGTTTCCATTTCAAATTAATCTTTCAAATTTTTGTAAATTTTGATTTTTTTTTTTAAATAAGGGGCATTCTTCCTGGCAACATTTGGTGATGACACTACCATTCTACCATCCGACTCAGATCCTGATATAGCAACCTTCAAAGACACCTCTCTCCCTGATTGAGCACTGGTGTAATAAATGACGTATTAAAGTAAATGAATCCAAATCACACTCCGACGCAGTTCCTGTCTACCAGTACAATTTAATTCCATCCAGCTTCCTTTTTCAGACACAGTTCGGTATCTTTACTTTCTCTCAGACAGAGGACTAACGTGGAACCCGCATACTAGACTCAAAAGACAAGAACTCAACCGACGATACGGCCAACTATACCGACTACTAAGCAGAAAATCTAAACTTTTCATTGAAAACAAGCTACTGATCTACAAGACAATACTGAAACCTATTAGGACTTACGGACTAGAACTGTGGGGATCAGCAAAATTTTCTAACATCAAGCGCATCCAATCCTTCCAGTCTAAAGTCCTTCGAACAATAGTTGATGCTCCTTTCTATGTAACCAACAAAACACTACACCTTGACCTTAATATCCCAATTGTCCTAGTCCTTATCCCAGAAAAATTCTCCAAATTTCACCAGAACCTTACCTATCATCCAAATCCCACAATCCCTATCCAGCACCATCCATCCCTAAAATCCTCGAAGGAGCTTAAAACGACAGTGGGCTCGCGACTTTTTATAGTTTATGAATATTGGAGTTCGGGCAATGGCCAGATTCTCCACTCACAACATGAGTGTATGTGGCTAAAGCCTCTCGCTCAATCTCCACTGTGTTTAGCCCTAGTGACGTTGTTGAGAGAGAAGTACGGGGATCTCGTCGAGTCATGCTTTTCCTTCCACAGTTGGAGGGACAAGTCTGGCTCGGAGTTCTCTCGCCTGATCGTAAATAGCGTATATAGGTATGTGTGTGTTCTTTTTTTATTTAGTTATTTTATTCTTATTTATTGTATATATATTATTTTTCTGTATAATTTACTTTTATTTTTTGTACATAGAGTGTGGATGTGATCTCTGTACACTATTACAAATGTCCTTTGAGGCAGATTGTGATATTTTTCAATAAACAAGATAAAAAAATGCCCTAAGGGGGGCTTAATAATTTCAAAAGGAAGTATGGAACACGTTTTTATATTATTTTTTATTTCACTGGGGAATTTCATTTCACCCATTTTATTTTTCAATATGGACAAGTCAGAAAAAAGCCATAAAGGCACTTGATACTTGCTTGGACTGGGCAAATTTATTACTGAAGCCTGGTATTTTTAAAGAATTTACGAGATCAGGCGTTTTCTTTAGCATCAAAATCTGAGACTCGACGTACGTTATATGATCATTTTCAGATATGCTTGTTTTTGTTCGCAATGAGTTTATGTATAATTGATAATATATTTATGTTCGTTACATTTAGCAATTATTCCTTCATTTTAAATTTAACCTTTGATATTCCGAACACGCCGTGCAATTTACGTTTTCGGATTATCAAGACCAATCTATATCTGTTATTATTATTATTTTAGTGTAGAGAAGTAATATGTAACATTTTGGTTAGAAATAAATTAAATATTAAAATATTGATGTTGCATTGTATTCTATTAGAGGAATGAAATATCTTAACTAATTATTGAGATAATAAGTGGGTTTGAAACCCGTTGCAGATTCCTTTTGGAGCGAGCGTTACTCCCTGGATGACGACGTGACGTACGCGGCAAGGGACCTGAAGGGGCACGACTTGCTGCTCCTCCATGGGACGCTAGACCTCTCGGCCCATTACCACCAGGCGATGATATTCTCAAAGGCCCTCATTGAAGCTGGCATCCTCTACAGCCATTTGGTTAGTAGCCACTTCCTCCATTATGTTTATTTTATATTAATACTTTCCTTTAGGATATTTAATAGTTGAACGGGTATTTTGGGAGCGAGATGGCCGAACAGGCTAACATGCGTTGCTCGTCAACCTGATAAATTCTAACATTTATCCCTCGTCCTCTCCCCTGTGCCGGGAAAACCCCGTATAGTCGAAAAGGCTATAGGCTATATGGAAGAGAAAAAAAAACGCTGACCGTGTTCATGGTGTGTTCCGTAAGCAAAAGGAAATATTTAAAAAGGTGATAGCACACCTCAAGAGCAAGAAAAAAATGTATACAAACAATAGTCATATTTCACACAGAAAAGCAGAAAATTGAAGTTCCGCGATTTAAAATGTAAATTAAGTTTCTTTTTGAATAGGAAGCCGTAACTAAAAAATTATTTAATTTAGGAAATTAATAATTGCTTTATAATAAACTAGACAAAATTTCCATTAAATGCAATTACGGTGAAAAAAAAAAAAGCGTAGTGATCATTGATTGCAATTATTTAATCTATTTATATAGGATGGCTTATGCAAATACTGGTTAGTGAAAGAATATCAAATCACATATTTTTTTTTACTCTTTTTTTATTATTATTTTTATTTTTTATATTTGAGCAATATAATATTCAGTACAGATGAATGCTCCACTTTTACAGGAGAGTCGACTGCCATCATGAACAGTCTTTATTTTATAAGAGATTAAAGAAAAAAGTTCTGGGTCGTTGTAACCGACTCATGAAATGTCTTAGCCGCCATCGACAACCCATCCCCATAGGCATGCCAATATACCCGGTGGGCCAGACCCCCTTACCGTGCACCCCTTCCCCCCTCCCCCACATCCCTATAAATTGCATATCGTTGTGTTCCTTGTGACAATTTATTAAAAAAAAGCCAATGTTCCCACAAAAAAAGTGAACGAACTGCCCCAAAATGGCGTCCAAACATGGCGGATTGACGACTTTGACTTTAGTTAGTTTTTTTGTTACTGATAATCAGCATTTGGCTTAATTTCATTATAGTTGGTCTTTTATTAAAGCTGGATAGTCAGAGAATAGTAAAACATGAAAAAATATTAAAAACTAATAGGCTTAGGCATTAAACAAAATCGGTAAAGTCAATTTTTCTTACAAACAAATTGAAAATTTCTTGAAGTTGAAAATCAAGCGTCGTTTGTAATTAAACCGTCAACAATAATGCAAAACGTGCTGAAATAAAACATCTGTAGAATACATTTCTCTTTCTAAAACACTGATTACTTTTTAAAATATTTGAAGTAGTTCCGTATAAAATGTACTTAAGCGGCAGAAAAGCGCTACTGGCGCAGGTGCCTTCAGGCCTCTACCACAATAATCAGTACTCATAAATGGCTTAGCTATAGTGCTATGATAACGTTTTTGATATATTATATTGATTGTGTCAACGAACAAATATTAATACAATAATTTAATTTTTTTTTAAATTTATTATTTTTGTTTTTATTTTTCATTATTATTTTTGTTTTTATTTTTCATTATTATTTTTTTTTTAATTTAACATCATTTATTCTATACGGAGGTCGCTAAAGAAGGCCTCTATTATAACAATTATATAATTATAATAATAAAACTTAATTCAAAAATACTTTGCAGAATATTTTGAATTTTTTATTTAACATTTGCAATTTAACATTTTGTTTTATATATTTACTGATTCTTAGAGGTAATTTAAATTGTATATACTTCCCCGGAAATGAGTCATATTAATATCTGTTTTATAAACTAAAATAATGTATACCTAATCTGAACTACTTTTAATGAATACTTTTAATGAAATTGAACCCAAACATTGGAAAAATACATTAAGCGAACGACAAACGAAGTGCCAAAATTTCAGGAAAGAAAACAAGGATCAGTATCCATTATATGGCTAAACGAATATATAGTAGACAGATGAACAGAATATTTCAAGATGCTGCTAAAAGAGGGTCAAAATGCTTGATCAGTTTGTATGATAAGCAGATTTATTATGGTGAAGACCATTTCATCAGCACGAAAGATTTGTCCTAGGCAATTAGCAAGTCAGCTGGTCTGGAAGAAGTAACCCGAAATGCTGTGCGTACAAAGGCTACAAATGTATTAGAAAATGAAAGAAAAGTACTGTAGTTTTGTCCCTTTACAGGAAATGAGATACTAGGAAATGTTATTCGAGATTCCTTACTGTTTATAGTACCAAAGAAAGTCTACTCAAGAATCGTAGAAGCTAAAATAAGTAATACTGTCGATTGCCTGAGCGATATGGATTGAGAAATTCAAGTTGCACATTGGAACATAAGTTGCAAATTGGGACTGTCTTCACTTTAAGGTAGGTTATAGAGAAGTCCACAGAGAAAGAAAAATGGTTCTCTATCTGCTGAGTGCCTCACACTTTGGATTGATCTAATATCTACTAGTCTTTCACAAAAGCTCGTTTTCCTTCAAAATTCTTTTGCAATTGCACTAAACAGGAGGAGTGCTATTTTCCTTTATCGATAGACCTCTCTATAACCTCCTTCAAAGTGAAGATTGTCCCAATGTGCAACTTCAATAGCAATCTAAAATAAAGTGGTTTTCACCATTATAAACCTCGTTTACTTCCTCCAGACCTGGTTGCCAATTGCTTAGAACAAATCTTTCTTACTGATGAAATGGTCTTCACCATAATAAATCTGCTTATCATACAAACTGATCAAGCATTTTGACCCTCTTTTAGCAGCATCTTGAAATATTCTGTTCATCTGTCTACTATATATTCGTTTAGCCATATAATGGATACTGATCCTTGTTTTCTTTCCCGAAATTTTGGCACTTCGTTTGTCGTTCGCTTAATGTATTTTTCCAATGTTTGGGTTCAATTTCGCGTTTTCCCTCATTTTGAGACCAAATACTAACAATCAGTTCCAGTTACCTAGAAGAACTTATAGCTTCGCCCTTTCCATCTTTATTTTGTGCAGAGGAAATAATGCATTTAATATTAAAAGTTCATATTTTTTATGATATGGTCCAACTTCCGAATAAAATTAAGGAAATAATAATGATTTTTAATAGCGATATATGAATTTTACTAAACAATCCATCACCTATTCATTAAAAGTAGTTCAGATTAGGTATATATTATTTTAGTTTATAAAACAGATATTAATATGACTCATTTCCGGGGAAGTATATACAATTTAAATTACCTCTAAGAATCAGTAAATATATAAAACAAAATGTTAAATTGCAAATATTAAATAGAAAATTCAAAATATTCTGCAAAGTATTTTTGAATTAAGTTTTATTATTATAATTATATATTTTTTATAATAGAGGCCTTCTTAAGCGGCCTCCGCATAGAATAAATGAAGTTAAATTAAAAAAAAAATAATAATGAAAAATAAAAACAAAAATAATAATGAAAAATAAAAACAAAAATAATAAATTAAAAAAAAAATTAAATTATTGTATTAATATTTGTTCGTTGACACAATCAATATAATATATCAAAAACGTTATCATAGCACTATAGCTAAGCCATTTATGAGTACTGATTATTGTGGTAGAGGCCTGAAGGCACCTGCGCCAGTAGCGCTTTTCTGCCGCTTAAGTACATTTTATACGGAACTACTTCAAATATTTTAAAAAGTAATCAGTGTTTTAGAAAGAGAAATGTATTCTCCAGATGTTTTATTTCAGCACGTTTTGCATTATTGTTGACGGTTTAATTACAAACGACGCTTGATTTTCAACTTCAAGAAATTTTCAATTTGTTTGTAAGAAAAATTGACTTTACCGATTTTGTTTAATGCCTAAGCCTATTAGTTTTTAATATTTTTTCATGTTTTACTATTCTCTGACTATCCAGCTTTAATAAAAGACCAACTATAATGAAATTAAGCCAAATGCTGATTATCAGTAACAAAAAAACTAACTAAAGTCCAAATCGTCAATCCGCCATGTTTGGACGCCATTTTGGGACAGTTCGTTCACTTTTTTTTGTGGGAACATTGGCTTTTTTTTAATAAATTGTCACAAGGAACACAACGATATGCAATTTATAGGGAGGTGGGAGGGGTGCACGGTAAGAGGGTCTGGCCCACTGACTAATAGTATTAGTTTGGGTACCAGCAGGGGTGCCCATCCCTCTCTCCCCTCAAAGGTCGATGGCACATCAAGCAGCCCCCCCCCCTTCTCCGAAGGTATTTTATTGCTCTCATCATAATAAACAGTGCAAAATAAACTATAATTTAAAAAAGATTAGGTCATATATATTGACACTTTCAGAGGTCTGTTCTTTGCTTTCCTCTTGTTCTCTGCTTCTCATTTCGAAAATTCATAACTCCGTCGAAATTTGCCCCCCTCAAAAATTAAAAACCCCGTCAAAATGTGCCCCTCAAATATTTCGAAGGCGCAATCGGCGCCATGAAACCCCCTTCTGAGCTCCCCTGGGTACCAGCCCACTGCGGCATTGTGGGAAATGAAAAAGCTGACCAAGCAGCCCATTTAACAAGAAGTGAAGAAAAAACGGTCATAATATTAAAGAACCTTAGAAGACCGAGTATACCAAGCAAAAAAAATACCACTAACAGAATGGGAGGAAGAATATCAAAAGGAATCAAGGAGAGAAGAAGTTATGCTTTGCCGACTAAGGATAGGACACTGCCAGTTTACACATGGCTACCTTCTGAGAGGACTCGAAACTTTTTCACACGTGGGAAAAATCTAATAGCGTTCTACAAACAGTGAAACAATTACTGGAAGAATGTCCTCAATTTGAAAATTACAGTCGAAAAACAGGCTTAGCCAAACCGTTAAGAGAAATTCTTCAAGATACTGAAGAACGAGTCACTACTTTGTTTAAATTTTTAAAGTTAACAGATATTATTAAAGAATATAAATTGCAGTAAAACGCCAATGATTCTCGAAGGTAGAGACGTGAAAGAGAGAAAAATATATATATTCAGTCACATGGATAATAAATGAGGTAAGGCTACAATCACACTATTTGTACAGAAAATATAAAACAAACAGAAGGAAAGTAACAATTAAATAATTATCAAAAATTATATACAAAAATAAAAAATAAAATAACTTAAAGATAAGTACATAAAAAAATACATATATACCTATATACACCACTTACAGTCGGCCGAGGGAACTCCATCTATAGAGGGAAAAAAAGCAGTACTCCAGGATATATCTCAACCGCGTCTCTGGTATTAAAGCCAGTGGAGATTGGCTGATAGCGCATTTTACACAACTAGAGGTGAATCTCAATTTATTCGTTGACAAACTATAAGTATATTAAACAAGGAAGTTTTTCTTAAAGTAGGGTATCTGAAGTCCAGTTATAGGATGATAAAATAAATTCGCGAATAATCAATAATTTTATGATTCATTAGTTATCCCTTCCTATTCAACAAACAACATCACATACTGAAAAAAACAAAAAAAAACTTAAATTCCCTGCTGTTCTGTATGAAATCACACCTTTGTTTGTATAAACTTTTTTTTGTAACTCTTGAGATCTGCTGGCACCTCTACAAATATTTCTCTTCACTTACGGCCCTGTATTACAAACTAAAAAATGGTCCGGGGTAGGTATCAAAAGAGAACTTCGTGTAGTGTAAAATATATATTGAAACATACGTTTCAAACAACTCTGCAGGTCTTCATCAGGACTAAATAAACAAGATACAAAATAACGTAGAATACTGTTAGAGGTGAAAGTAAAAATTAATGATATATAGAAACATTGTAGTAGATATCCTCTAGTATTGACTCCTTTATGTGGCATTGAGAGAGGGAATGAGAAGGAATGTATAGCAATTTAGGAATGCACTAAGAATTGGACTCAATTGTGCAGTGAACATGTTGTTTATTGAAAAGTACCAAATGAATAAACAATTGATGAAAGAGGTATGTGTGTGTGTGTGTGTGTGTGTATATATATATATATATATATATATATATATATATATATATATATATATATATTTATTTATTTATTTATATCATGTGTATTAATTTCAATTATTCTCCATTATTACTCAACAGTTATTATCTTCGTTTTATTGCCTCTCCGGAATTTCTATCAACTATTTAAATTTATTATGAATTTATTTATAATTTATAAATTATTTATTTGTAATTTATTTATTATAAATTTATTTTATATTAAACTATTTTATTGCCTCTCTCTATCAACTTTCGTTTTATTATCCATAATATTTATGAATAATATATCTCTCGTCCTTATTTACGCTTCCGGTACTTTATTCAAACTTCGTCAGATAACCGTTAGAGATATAACCCTTCTATCCACCCCCCTCCTTGAATAACATGATCATTGTTTCGATTTACTTCACAGCAGTCAGGTGTGTTTTTTTTTCTTTTTCTTTCTTATTCTCTTTCTTATTTCAACCTTCTCAGTTTCTTTCCTCCTTCCTTTCATTCCTTTTCTCTGTTTCAACTCTTTATTGTATTATACATTGTCTGTACATCTTGATAGACTTTACAACATCTCAATTTTCTATCTTACTATTCTATTCACAATATCTTAATTTTACTATTTATTTCCATTTCTTATATAACTTCATATTTTTCTGTTTTACATTTTATTCTAAGATTACCATTTCAATACTTATGTCACCTTTTTGATTATGTTCATTTCACCTTCATCATTTCACCCTTTATACTGGTTATTATTGTTTATCTCTTGTTCTTACTATTGTAATTATTCTAACAACTGCATCTTATTTTTATGTTTCTCATACCTTGTTATCTGGTTCATTTCATAGCCCTGATGATGACCTGAACTTCAGGTCGAAACGTCGGCAAATGACAAAATAAATATTATCATTTATTTTTGCCTTCTTATTTGACTGATGGGATGGCCGAGCACGTTGGGATGTGGGTTCCAGATTGATCGATTCGGAACGTCGTGGGTTCGATTCCCATCTGGGAAGGTTGTGACGTTCTCACTCTGGTAAGTGCGCTGCGGCAACCTCAAGATAGCTGTCAGGGGTTAGCAGGAAGGACCACATAGGCGCCCACTTGTCGGACTTGTTCCCCTACCAGGACCAGTAAATACTATGGAGATTTTTATTAGATTACCATATTGTTTAATTTATATTTACTTATTTTTAAAAAAGCTTTTAATACTGTTCTCATCAATACTATTCCTTTAACCTTTAAGGCTACTCCGATGACCCATTCAGAAGACAAATTCCGATGTATTATTTTTTTTTTCTTTTCTTATACTTTTCTAATGATCTGATTTTTTCATTGCTTTTATTTAAACAGAGAAGAAATAACATAGTACCTAAATAAGAAGTTATATATTATAATTTTGACATTTTCTAAAACAATATTATTTTAATAAATTTATTCCTATTATTTGAAAATTACAGCACATGACCTCCAAGAATTTCAAGACTTGCTGCATCATTTCTTTAGAAAAATACATAATAAATTTAAAGTATATCATGGCAAGTTCAAGGCCTTTTTTACTCCCTCACTTTACCTCTGTTCCCCCACTCTATTCCTGCCCCCCTCCCTATTCCTGTTCCCCACTCCTCCACTCCCCAGATTATTCCTATTCCCTATTTCTCCAATTCCTCACCCTATTCCTTTCACTCCACTCTTCCTCAGCTTCTGTAACTGACCGAGATCAACTCACTATCGGTTTCAATTATTGAATTATTTATAAACTTTGGATTTATTATTATTATTATTATTATTGTATTTTTAAAATGTTTTATATAAATTTTATTGTATATATATTTTCAGGCATACCCGGATGTTGGAGGAGACTTAAAAGGAAGTGAAGAGCATGCTTACAGCGCCCTTGAAGACTTCTTCGATAGAACCCTGTCACCGATAGATTACACGGAATGGGAAACCGGATCCACTTACTTCAGCTTTCGAAACTGAAACCTCATATAAATGTCCTTTTCTCGTTATGTTAATTGCCCAATTTATATAAAATTGCTTCTGCCTTTGTCGTTTTAATATATGTTTAGCTTATTTTTTTCGTTTCCAACTTTATATAATGTTTGTTTTAGAAAAAAAGTAATAATTTTTAGTAAAACTGCATGTTTAAAAGCTTATATATGATATTTATTGTGATTTACTAGCTCAAGCAAATTGCATCCAGCTTAAGTGAGAAATGTTTCGTCCGTAAATAAAACCGGAACCGTACCTCGTCAAAACTAAATGTATAGAAATAATTTATGATGAATATAAACTCAATTTATATGGATTTGTCTGAAAAAAAATAAAAATCGATTTTCCTCTCGTCTGACATCGTTGCATCGATTTCAACGAGTGTCCTAAATCCTAAATAGGGATTTTTAAAGACGTTTTCACATCATAAATAAAAGACAATGAATTTCGTTGATTTAACATTAAATCGAATTTTCATAATTTAACAATTTATGTATTATTCAACTTTCTACAAATGTCTACAAAATTATAATACAATATCGTCTAAAAAATCAAACATCGAAAATTATGAAAACGATTTTTCTGTCTCTTTAAATAAATATACAAATTAAGAAACTGTTAATATTCTTTTTATGTATGTAAATCTAAGAAAATTTACATTATAACTATAAAATGAAACAATATCTTATAATAAAAAATATTACTCGTTCAATCAATTTAGGAATAAGTGAATCGATGAATTCCAAAGTGAACGGTAATTGATATTTTTTTAGAAAATGGGAAAAACTATATTTTCTATTCTAATTGCAATACCCAAGCCAACATTTAAAAAAAAATGAGAAATTCTTTATTTAAAGCACATATTTCAGAAAACCACTGAATTTTTCAGTAGTGATAACGAATTTAACTTCAAAGGCCGTTTTCGAACAAAAAAAAGTTATTACAGCTCGGTTATGGGAGAAAAATGGTGCATTATATTAGATACATTTTTTTAAAAAATTATACTATTAAAAATTAACTTCTTTCTTACAATAATGGTAATAACTTAATTAAACTGTTAACAAATCTTTTGATAAATTAATGATTTAAGAAATGAAGTTTCATTATATTCACTGAAAACAAAGAACGGTTTTGGGAATAAAACTATTTTCACATCACTTTTTTTTTTTTACATTTGCTTTTGAAAAAAAAAAATTAATTGCTTCATTGGATTCATTGGATGTTTTTACATGGAAATCGATAAGTTTTTTCCATTTCCAAAAAAAAAAAACAATTAGGATTCACTTTGGAAATTAGGGACTTGTAGGAGTATTTAATACACAAACGAGAGAAAACACAATTATTGGTCCAACCAAAAATGTGAATTGAAAATCTTGAAAAAAAAATCAAATCTTTGTTGGAGACCAGAACTGAAATATTGAAAACCAAGTTTTGTTTGAGTATATTACTTTTTTTCTTAAATTGATGTTTAATATTAATTTAAAATTTCTTATATACTGTTTGGTATAGTAACACTAGGTCATAAGACAAAAAAAAAATTACAGAAACATTTCCATTTGCAGAAATAACAGGCGATAGAGATAATCAACGTTGCAAGGAACGGGAAAATCATATGTAATCCCTATATCACGAAAAAAAAATAATAAGAGAATCTCCAATAATAACCAATATTGAACAGCGATGTTTTTTGAGTAATGTTTTGACAATTTCCCGTCCAAATTATATTATTTGCATTTAAAATACAAATTATTACGGCATTGATTGGTTGTAAGTACGTCGAGTTACATACAAATAAGCTTAGAAAATAATTGATATTTTCATCATAACATATTCTTATTATTTAAAATTTAGTAATCAGAATATAGTAAGCTTATAAATATGTTCATATTCTTTGTCATATCTGACAACCCACAGCTAAAAAAAATGTCTTCAGTAAGGATGTCTAGTTTTCAGGTTCCATACCGCTGAAGAAGAAAGTGCAAATCAGTGATTAATTGTTGTTCATAATTCCAAATTTGAAATTTGACTTAATATCACCGAATCTGTTTCAAATCGTCTCTTTTTTATTGGAAAATCGCGGCCCATCGAAAAATCACCTAACATCTCAAAATGGATGCTATGTATCAAAAAATAGTATCTTATCGAGATTTTTTTTTAGATCTTGCAGTATTTTATAATGCATGCTTCACTTTTTTATTAAGATTTTTATTTAATGAAATACATACATAGCTTAAATTTTGAATCTCTATACATCTATATAGAAAAGCTATAAAGAATCTCGTATGATCCGAAGAAATATTTAAGTAATATTACTAATTTTAAGTATAATTTTATATCGTTGATTTAGATCCGTATTTCACGTAAAAAAGTAGGATTGCTGTCTTCGTTGTCTTCAGTAATTATAATATATAATATATATTATAATATAATATAAGATTTTGTTTTTTCAATGCATCCCCTGAAAACAATTTCTTCCTCCATAGTTGTCAGAAGAGAAAAAATTATTTTTAAGCTAGACATCCTATGCTTAAATTCGGAACCCGAGACACATTTTCCATTTAGTACTAATTTTGGACAAACGTGGGAGTCAGATGTGCGAAGGATGGCAGTATTTTACTAATAAAAAGAAATGTTTCATAATATGCCAGACACAAGTCTGGATTGTTTGATAAATGTTTAAAAACCATTGTTATAGATAACATATATGAATTTAAATGGGCATGAAAGTCTTGTGCCAAATTGATGTAAATGTTTAAAGACTTACCATTATGCACGGGAAGACTAAAATATTTCTAATAAAAAAAAAAAAAAGTTCTTAGTATCAAGAAACATACTTGACAACAGATTGAAAGTATTCACAGTAGAAAGAAATTAACAAATGTTTTTTATAAGTTATTTTTATTCCGTCATTTTGAAATTACATGATTGTTATTTATGTATAGTCTATATTTATTAAAGTAATAATATATTTTGTATACTGAGGAATAGAAGGAATTTAGAACATTGATGATGTAATGAAATAATGTATTCATTTAAAAAATAAAAACAAAAAAAAACATTTCATTCAAACACAACCATATCAAGGTAAGAAAAACTTTGCAGCCATTGGTTTATTGAATCTACAAACTTTTTTATGTCTTAGTAATTTTATTTAGTATTCTTTGGATGATGAAACGACATTTTAAATTAGAAGGGTTCATTTAAAACTTCATCGAGTGAACAAATATCGTTTCATATATAATATGGGGTGTGTAACTGTTATAATATGAGATAATAACGTGTTCGCAGTATCTAAAATTTTATTTTTTTATATATCAGTATGTGCCAATTAAAATTTCGAGTACGCATTTACATACATATACATGTGTGCATATATGAATTTATATATACGTACATGTAACTAAAGTCAATCAGGAACGAAAAATTTTAAAAAGTGTTTCTAAATTTTAAAAGAGATGTTCTGTTTTTTAATATAAGTCTGTTAAGTGTTCACCTTTCGATATTTAAAAATTTTTCACCCATTTTAAAATTGAAAACCTATTGATGTATAACTATTACAAGAAATATTTTCTTCATTTTATTTTTAATTTGTCATTGTATCTGACAAGCAAAATCAAGCTTTATATATGGATGTTGTTTAACACTTGTACACTTGAAAATCATTGAGCTTTGTGATGTTTTTAAGCAATCGTATCGATGTCTAAATGGTAAACAAAAATTTTTAAAAATGTCCACTGATATTTTATATTAATAAACGTAGGTTAATGAAAAGAACGAAATGTTAAATGTTTTTCTATAGCTCAGTTAAAACGTAAGCTATGATAACTGTTATAATGTGTATATGGTCATATAAATATAAATATATATAAATAAATAAATAAAAATTATATATATATATAGATATCAGACTTGAACATTGTTCCAATATAAATGTATTGAATAAGAAATGATTTTTATTCATTGTTAAGAATATATTTATAAACTGTTACCTATATGATTACAATTTTATTAATTTGGTTGTATTTTTTATTTGTGTTTATATGTTATTAATTATACTATATGTTATTTAGTGATTAATATGCTTTTAAGTGTTTAGTGTCACTAATTTTTTACATACATGTTAGTGAGTTTATTAATTATGTTAAAACGTATTGAATTTAGTACACAGCTAGATAATGTTTAGTTAAAAATATTTTTAAAAAAGTTTTATTTGAATTTTTCATTCATTATGAATAGTGAATGAATAGTACGAAATAAAAAACTTCTTCATTTTTTATTCTCACTTCATAATGAAATTTGCCCAAGTCTGAACTATATAAAACAAAAAAAAAAAAAAAAACTATATATATACTTATTATATTGTAATAATATAACTATTTATTTTGTTAATAATTATATAAGCATATGTAACATATATTTATGAAATTGTTATGGACCTTGTATTTGCTGATAGCTGTGAGTTTTTATTTTTGATGTGTCAGTGTATTCAAAACCTTTTAAAGTTAAGTGTTGTTCGAAATTTGTGTTTTGTAAAAAAAAAAAAAAAAAAATGTACTAAAATGATAAAAAAAACATTTTTAAAAAATTAAAGAAAAGAAATCTGAAAGACTGAAAAAAATAAAAAAATAAATTGTGTAAATATCTGTTTTTATAATTTTGAGTAGATCGTAACCTGATATTCTCTGTAAATTGTAGTAGGAAAAAAAAATTCACATGGAATTATTTTAACACCATTTTTTTCTTGCTATTCTAGATGTTAACATCCATGCTCTGGAGTACTGTTGGATGTACGCAAAGATTCTGCTGTATCTAAAAAGAAGTGGCCAATTAAAAGGGGGTTATAAATTGTTGAGGGGAGCTCATATTTAGGAGGTTTTTGAATTTTCGAGAGAACCATATATTTTTATAGTAGTTAATTGAGGGAAATTTTCAAAACCAAGGAACAAGGAAACATTTACCCATCATTTTTATTATAATTCTGCTTTCAT